CACTCTTGGTAGGAAGAGTGAGTATATTTTTCATGCAAAAAGGAGAGAAATGAATATTTATGACCAAGAAGGTAGACTGTGATAAGAGAATATTATTTTTACTATTTATTTGCTTCTCTCCCTGTAGGAGAATTATACAGCCCTCAACATGGTTACCCATTTGCATTGTCTGCTACAGGAGGAGTATATTTCTATAACCTGTTGGCATCAGGCAAGGTCATATGACTTGCTTTAGCTAGTTGAATGTGAGTGGAAGGGACGTACACCTTTCTAAGCAAAAGCTTAAGAGCCTTTGTGTGGTTTGGCCATTTCCTTTTCCCCTCTGCTTGGTCTTGTTAGGAGCAGGCTGGGGGATGCTACTTAGCCTCAGTCTGCAGATGAGAAGGCATATGAGGGCAGAGCTAGGGGTGACTCATAGCACCACTGTGAAACTCGAGAAATAAATGTTCATTCTTGTAAGCAACTGAGATTTTTTTATATTGTTTATCACAGCAGCATAACTAGTCAAAATTGACTAATACAGTTGGCTTTCATCTGGGCCCAGCCAGTGGGAATCACTGGCAGGAGAATGGAGAATGTGAGGAAGGGAAAGAATACATCTCCCCTTCCTTCCCCAGGCAGCATCTCCAGGAGCAACTCTATCTCCAGATAGGCAGGCCTGCTGGGCTTCAGTTCCTGACCAAGGGTCCTGAGCTCCTCCCTTTGGGTGACGCTGCTTTGTCCTCCCACCTGGTCCCTCTAGAATTCCTGCTGTTGCTAATCTGTATTCGGCTTCTCACCTCTTCTATCACTTATTGACTGACTCTCTGTTCTTAAAGTCCCTCTGGTTTAAACATTTTGAGTAGTTTTGGTCCAGTCGGACTCTATCTGATACCCCATCCTATGTATACATTTTGGAGTAACTACTGATCACCGATGTCTCAAACTTTGTGCGATTTTTTATTTATTTTTATTTTCATATTTTTTAAAGATTTTATTTATTTATTTGACAGAGAGAGACACAGCGAGAGAGGGAATACAAGCAGGGGGAATAGGAGAGGGAGAAGCAGGCTTCCCGCAGAGCAGGGAGCCCGATGCGGGGCTCGATCCCAGGACCCTGGGATCATGACCTGAGCCGAAGGCAGACGCTTAACGACTGAGCCACCCAGGCGCCCCTGTGTGATTTTTTAAAAAAGAAAGATACCTTTGATTGTATATATATTTTAAAGATTTTATTTATTCATTTGAGAGAGAATGAGATAGAGAGAGCGTGAGAAGGGGGAGGGTCAGAGGGAGAAGCAGATTCCCTGCTGAGCAGGGAGCCCGATGCAGGGCTTGATCCCAGGACCCTGGGATCATGACCTGAGCCAAAAGCAGACACCTAACGACTGAGCCACCCAGGCGCCCCGTTGTCACCCTTTTTAAATGTAGAGTCCAGTGGCAATAAGTACATTCCCATTTTGAGCAGCCATCAAGGGCATTCACCTCAAGAACTTTTTCTCTTCCCCAACTGAAACTCCATAACCATTAAACAATATCTCCCCATTCCCTCTTTCCCCCAGCCCCTAGCAACTTCTACTTTCTGTGTCTGTGATTTTGACTCCTCTAGGTACTTTATGCAGGTGGAATCACACAGTATTTGTCCTTTTGTGACTGACTTGTTTCGCTGAGCATAGTGTCTTTAAGGTTCATCCACGGAGTAGTGTGTGTCACAGAAGGAAGCAATCAGTCCCTCGTCTTCTACTCCATCCAACCAACGACGAGTTCCATTGATTCTACCTTAAACATGGCTCCATCATTGCTCTTCTCTTTTGCCGCCTACATCCAGGGACGGGTCAGCATCTTTACCTTTTTTTTTTTTTTTTTTAAGATTTTATTTATTTATTCATGAGAGACAGGGAGAGAGAGAGAGAGAGAGGCAGAGGCAGAGGGAGAAGCAGGCTCCCTGCTGAGCAGGGAGCCTGATGTGGGACTTGATCCCAGGACTCTGGGATCATGACCTGAGCCGAAAGCAGATGCTTAACCAACCATCTGAGCCACCCAGGTGCCCCAGCATCTTTACCCTTGGCCACTGTGGCCACCTCCTCCTGGGTCTCCTGCCTCTAGTCTTGCTAAAACTTCAATCCAGGCTCCAAGCCACTACCAGAGCCATTTTCTAAAGCAATTCTAATTGTGCCCCTTTCCTGCTAAAAACTCTTAAGCTGCCCATTGCTTTTAGGGAAAAGTTCAAACCCTACATCATGCCTTCCAAGGCCCTCCACCAATTAACCCTGACCTACTTCTCTGGTCTCATCTCTTAATAATCCCTTTCTGGTTTCTGCCTTATCCTCTTCATCTTATTAACCCCTTCTCTGCCTTCTGGTCATAGGTTAAGTCTCACTTCCTTGAAGGAGCTCTCTCTTCCCATAATGCAATGCCCTGTACTTACTTTATCACTCTACTTATCCACATTTATTGTAATTATTTGCTGAAGTCTGCCTTCCCTTTGGACTATAACTTCTTTGAGGGCCAAGACCGTGTCTTTCTTTCTTCTTCTTTTTTAAAAGATTTTATTTATTTGAGAGAGAGAGACAGAGAGAGTGAGAGAGAGAACACGAGCGGGCTGAGAGGCAGAGGGAGAAGCAGACTCCCCACTGAGCAGGGAGCCCGATGTGGGGCTTGATCCCGGGACTCCCGGATTATGACCTGAGCCGAAGGCAGACACTTAACTGACTGAGCCACCCACGTGCCCCAAGAGCATGTCTTTCTAAGTGCTACATCCCTACCACCTAGCAGAGACAACGACCACAATAAGTGTTAAATAGAACTTAGTTGTAGATTTGAAAGTTTTCATGTTACAGGAGCTGTAGGTGGTAGTTGATACCAAATATACACATGAGATAATCTAGGGAGAGGGTACCTCTAGAGACAGAGAACATGAGAAGTAAGAAAGACAATGCTGATTAAGATGAAGCGATGAAGACAAGGCTAAGGGGGAGAATGAGAAATGAGTGGCCAGAGGAGTGGCAGAAATGTCAGAAGAGAATGCAGTCATAAGCCAAAGAAGAGAGACCATCAGAAAACTGGAGGCACCCAGCAGGGTCAACCACAGCAAAGAGGACAGGATTGAAAAGAAGTGCCACTGGAGTGGTTACAGATCAAGAAAGATCATGTCTGGCAGCAGCTGGGTTTATCCTTTGTCAAACTACTATACTTAAGAAGGTATTATCTGCCTCCTTTTCATTAATTCCTCTATCCATTAGCCCAGCAAAGATTCATTAAACATCTGCTCTAGGCCAGGTACTGTGCGAGGCCCCAGGGAGATAGAGAAACAGAACAACATCCACTTGAGCCTATGGATCTCACCACCCCTGCCTGCAAGGGAAAGTTCCAAAGCACTGACTTGTGGCCCAGCAAAGCCAGGGTGTGGCGTTTTATTGGAGATGATATTAACTGGCTTTCCTAACGTACTCGATGAAACAAAAATTGGTGTGCTAGTCCAGAAGTCAGCAAGACTTTGTTATCTTGCTCTGAGCTGGCAGGAGGCAAAAGGGAAAGTGCCTGTAGTACACAATTGCATCATGTCCATCTGTTCATAAGTCACAGACAAGATTCTGGGCTCAAAGGCAGAAAACTGATAGAGCAACTCAATCCAAAGAGCACCCCCTTAAGAAACTCCCTGAACTTAATCCTATGTAGTGGTCACTCTGCAGAGATTCCTTTACCTTCCAGTAATACATTGTATTACTGACTAAATTCCTGCTCGACTCTTTTTTTGCCTGCCCTGTGTTCCAACTGCAGTAAAACAGTGTGGTGTACTGTTCAAAAGGTCAATGAGTCATGGCCTTCTGAAAATTAATGGGAGTCTGAATGGAGACAAGGGAGGAACACTCTAACTCATGAGGAAATTATCTTACTAGGTTTTCTTTTAATACAGGGGTCATCTCATTTTCCATAGTAGACACCGCTTTGAAATAAAAAAGTTTAAATCAAAATGTCTTTAAAGCATATTATCTTTGGCTAAGTGGGCCAAAGGTTATTATTACTTAACCTTTGGTTAAGGGTCCAACTCTTGATTTCAGCTCAGGTCATGATCTCAGGGTCCTGGGATCTGCTTGAGGATTTTCTCTCTCTCTCTGCCCCCACACCCCTCTCCCTCTCAAAAATAAATAAATCTTAAAAAAAAAAAAAAGCATATTTTAATGCCCCAGAAAAACGAGATCTTTTAAAGGAACCCAGCCCATCAAACTAGTCATTCTTTGAAATATTATATAATCAAATTAGTGAATAATCAGTTATTAATTTATAATTTGGATTTTGAAATACACTTCATTTTTTTTTTAAGATTTTATTTATTTATTGATGAGAGAGAGCAAGTGAGAGAGAGCAAGAGCCAGGGGGAAGGGTAGAGGGAGAAGCAGAGTCCCTGCTGAGTGGGGAGCTGGATTCCAGGACCCCGGGATCATGACCTGAGCTGAAGGCAGATGCTTACCCGACGGAGCCATTCAGACACCCCTGAAATACGCTTAAAAAAATATATATGTGTGTGTGTGTGTACATACACATACATACATACAGGATTGGGGAAGTAACTGATTCAATTAATCGACCACAGCCTCAATCAGACTTTAGCTGTTGGGGTGTGGCCTGACTCAATAGAACAGAAGTTGATAAAACAAGCTCCAAGGAACTTATGCCTGAGAGAAATGTGCTCAAGGGACTCTGAATGCATGCCTGGACCTTCCCAATGCTTACAACTGAAAAGTCCCTGGGGACCCGGGGTGGGTTGAGCAAGGAGGGGGGCAGAGTGAATCCTCCTTCACTGGGGACGGTAGAAATAACCAGTCATACTTCCACAGTGCTTACAACGAGCCAGGCTCTTCCTCTGACTCTTGACATGTATCAACTCAGTTAATCATCCCAACAACCCATAATAGTTACTATTACTATCTCCATGTCCCAAGGTGAGAAACTGAGTCGGAAAGGTTAGCAGCAATTTGCTCGCTGTCCCACACTAGAAAGTGGTAGAGCTGGTTACTCACCTGGTGGCCATTGTGGGGACGGGGGTTCAGTAATATGCCTCAAATTCGCTTAAACATGCACACCTTTAAGATCAAAGGCAGGGCCTGCCTGATGACGCATGTGACTTCGGAACTCCTTTTGCGACAGTAACTCTGGGTGTGGGTGAGAGTTCCTGGGTGCACGGTGGGGGAGGGGTCGCCGATCAATTCCCAGCTGGCGCAAGCTGAGAACTTGGCCCTTTACTGACCTCTGTCAGAGTCCCACAGCACTCAGGGCGGTGGCAGAACACCCGCCGAGCCAGAGCTCGCCGCCAGCCACGTGGCCCGGCCTGGGAGCCAGGACGCTGTCCCGCGAGGCGGGGCCGAGGAAGACGGGCTGGGGCGACAGGACGCGCGGGCCGGGCGGAGTGCGCCTGCGCGCGGAGTGGGCCGGGCGGGGGTGGGGTGGCCTCTTAAAGCCGTTCCCCGCCCCGCTCGCCGCGCCAGTCTCCGCGGTGCGCAGGCGCGGAGGTCTCTCCTTGTCAGTCGGCGCCGCGTGCGGGCTGGTGGCTCTGTGGCGGCGGCGGCGGCGGCGGCGGCGGCGGCTAGTCATCGGCATCATGAACGACTTCAGCAGCGAGGAGCGCGCCGCGCCCTTCACCCTGGAGTACCGAGTCTTCCTCAGTGAGTGTCGGCGGCCCACGGCCCCTCCCCGCCCGCCAGCCCATTCATTCCCGGCCCTCGCCTCGCCTCCTGCCCGGGCGCCTGCGGCCCGCGCTCCGCCCCTCGTCCCGGGCGCGGGCCGGGTTCCTCGGGCTCCCCGGGGCCTGGGCCGGGCCGGCCTCCGGTTTCACACGTCGTGCTCGCAGGCGGGACGGCGGGGCTCGGCGTTCCTCTTTCACACGCGCGGTGGGACCCGACCCCCGGCCGGGCTAGTTCTGCAGGTGTCCTGCTCGGGCGGGCACCGTCTGATGGGGAAAGGAAACCACTGAGTCACCCTAGAAAGGTGTCTGGGGGTAAACTGATCCTGTAAGAGGATTGCTTGATTTGGAGGAACTGGGGCGGGGTGGATGACTCCCTAAGGACCTTAATTCCTGAACTGTAGCTCAGCTTGTGCGCACCAAGCAGGGTCCAATCCAGCCCCGCGTTCTGCAGACGGGGACACTAAGGCCGGGATCAGGAGCCGTCAGTGGAGGACCGAACCCCTCGCCAGGGTACGCTCCCGCCCCTCCCGCCGGGGTGTCCCCGGTAGCACAGATGCTGGGAAGGCGCCTTGTGAAACAGAAAGCTGTTCCCTTCAAGTCAAACAGGTGACGTCAGTCTGGGAAGCACGAGTGAGAAAGTGCCAAGTTTTGCCCCTGGGCAGGGAATCGGCATCTGAGGGGGACCCACCCCAGGTCCGCGCCTGAAGCTGCGCTTAGAGCCCAGCACGCTGCGGGCTGGCTGAGCTCCGCTTTCCCTGGCGCACGACCTTCCGTCTTGCAGGTGGAGGAAAGCTACCTCGGGTTTGTCTTTATCTCTACCCATCTCCGCCCCAAGCCACCAGGAATAGATTATTGGAGACAACGGAGGCGTTCGAAAATGTGTCACCAAAGGTGTTTCTAATTTAACTGTAAAGAACAGTTTTCCTCGGAAGGCAACGGGCAGGTGCCCCGAAGTCTTTGCGTGTGGTGTGTGAAGGGCAGGAAAGAGCAAGATGGAGGGGACGAATGGAAATACGAAGAGAAAGAACAAAGTCCCTAGCAAAAAGTAACGTGCTGTGGGAGGAAGAAGAAAGTGAACTCAAGTTTACACATGTCGCTGAAGGTTACCATGCAAAATCCAGGAAGGATGGGACTCCCCATTTTATTTAATTTCGGAGTTAAATAAGGGTAGTGTGGGAACTTTTGACGAATAATTCACTAACTTATTTTTCCTGGATTTAGTGTTGGCTCCAGAATTTATCTGTAGGAGGGATTTAGAGAGGTGACCCTAGAGTTTGAAGGTGGAGGGATGATTGGGGAATTGTCTTCAAGCAGTATTCAAACAGCAGTTTTTACTTAGGTTTTGTAATGGTAGTATTTGATGGCCATTATGGAAGTCCATAACCACTCCTTGACTTTGGCACTGGCTAAAGTAACTTTTTATCAGATAGAACTCTCTGGGACTTAGGAAATAATAATTAGAAACAACTATGCAATAACACAATTTTAAGGGTTTTTTTAAATCATAGATTTCTTAGCACCCTTCCTTAGTAGAGGATTTTTTACCTCTGTAATGTTATATTTGTCAGTCTCTTTATTTTATTTTTTTTAAAGATTTATTTATTTATTTGAAAGAGCGAGTACATGAGTGGGGGAGGGTCAGAGGGAGAAGCAGGCTCCTCGCTGAGCAGGGAGCCCGATGTGGGACTCGATCCCGGGACTCCGGGATCATGACCTGAGCCGAAGGCAGTCGCTTAACCAACCGAGCCACCCAGGCGCCCTGTCAGTCTCTTTAAAACTGATAGTGGAGGGGCACCTGGGTGGCTCGGTTGGTTAAGCGTCTACCTTCTGCTCGGGTTGTGATCCTGGGGGTCCTGGGATCAAGCCACGTGGGGAGCTCTGCGGGGAGCCTGCTTCTTCCTCTCTGTCTTCCTGCTGCTCCCCCTGCTTGTGCTCGCTCCCGCTCTCTCTCTCTCTCTCTAATAGATAGATAAAATCTTAAAAAAAAAAAAACCTGATAGTGGATAGGATTGCAAAGTCACAGCTGACTTTGAAGGGATCATAGTGGGACAGGGGATGGTCACTGCTCAGTTTTTGCTATTCCACCTTGGTTTTTAAATGTGAAGGGATATTGTATGGACTGACCCTTAGGTTTCTTAAAGAATAGTAAGGAAGTTTTGAAATTCCTTTTTGGATATGGTGGTTAGGTCTCTAGAATATAGAAATTACCTGTGAAAGTGTTGTTGCAACTAGATTATCCTTAAGAAATATAATAATCTAAGATGGCTCTGTCTTCCTGGAACATTACTTAAGACAACAGGGTTTTATAATTCAGCAAGTTCGTCCCCTCCCCTTCTCCCCAGCACAACTATTTCATTAGTTCCGTAAACCATTAACTGATGTAAGATCAGTCAAAAACAATTTGATCCCCTTTTATTTACCAGGCACTGCTAGACTCTGGGGATACAAAATGATAGAAGGCAGCCCCTGTCCTCATTGTAGAGGTATCTGTTAGACACCTAAGGAAAGCATAGGATGAAAACTTAACCCAATCTTGGAGGGGTCAGGAAGGTAAAGTATACAACCAGTTTTTCTGGTGTGGGAATAAAAAGTGTCTGTGTCACTATTCTGGTGAACAGTGTTGATAATGGGGGGAAGCTCGGCAAATGAGGGAGCAGGGGGGCGGATATGGGAAATCTCTACCTTTTTTTTCAATTGTATTGTAAACCTAAAATTACTCTAAAAAATTAAATATTTTTAAAAATGTATACTTAATGCATCTGAAATAGTTAACAAAAAAATTAGTAATAACTTTTTCTAATTCATTTTGCAGAAAATGAAAAAGGACAATATATATCTCCATTTCATGATGTTCCAATTTATGCAGATAAGGTAAGATGTCCTCATTTAAATGTAGTTTCTCTACTCAGATCAGCTAGTTCCACATGAATTTTCGTATATATCTTAATAAATGCTTAAAATGCATTATTGTGCTGTGAGTTAAAGGTACATTGACTAAATAAGAGTCAGTCTTAAATCCAGATTATTTGGCTAAAGAAGCAACTATAAATTGGGGAAGGAGTAGAGGAACAGACACAAATGTTTTAAAGCTGCCTTGGTTTAGGGGCGCCTGGGTGGCTCAGTTGGTTAGGCAGCTGGCTCTTGGTTTCTGCTCAGGTCATGATCTCAGGATTCTGGGATTGAGCCCCTCCTCATGCTCTGCACTCAGCGGGGACCCTGCTTCCGGATTCTCTCTCTCTCTCTCTAAGTAAATGAATCTTTAAAAAATTAATAATAAAGTTGCCTTGGTTTAAAGAAAGAAATCACATTGATCTTTTTGTATGTGTATTTGGAACTAAAATCTTAGTACTTCATAAGTGGTTTTAAAATTAACCAGGTGGGGGCGCCTGGGTGGCTCAGTCGTTAAGTGCCTGCCTTCGGCTCAGGTCATGATCCCAGGGTCCTGGGATCCAGCCCCGCATTGGGCTCCCTGCTCAGCGGGAAGCCTGCTTCTCCCTCTCCCACTAACCCTGCTTGTGTTCCCTGTCTCACTGTGTCTCTCTCTGTCAAATAAGTAAATAAAATCTTAAATAAATAAATAAATAAATAAATAACATTAACCAGATAGCCAGCACAAAATTTGGGTTATGGGATATTTATTAAACAGCAAGAATAAACTAGAGTATTCAGTGACTACAGGAAAATTCAGTACTTTTAATGGATTGGTAGAGTTAAGACGCATAGTGTTAATAAAGGTTAAGTCTACAGACTTTTTTTTTTTTTTTTTTTTGAGAGAGAGTGGGTGCACAAGCGGGAGAGGGCGGGAAGAGACAGGGAGTGAGAGAGAGAATCTTAAGTAGACTCCACGCCTAGTGTGGAGCCCAATGTGGGGCTCCATCTCACGACCCTGAGATCATGACCTGAGCCAAAATCAAGAGTTGGATGCTTAACCAACTGAGCCACCCAGGCACCCCAAGTCTACAGACTTTTAAAAAGAGAGGTCTTTTTATGCACACCAGTAAGCTGAAGAAACCTCACAAATTGATAGGTTTATCACAAATTGGTAGGAATCTTACACTGCTAGGGAAAAATGTCTACAGCTATATATTCCAAAGTCCTTGTGATCCTTTGGAAGTAGAATTGCTAGTGACTCTGTTTTTATTTTCATTTTTGCCTTTTTATATTTTCTAATCTTTTTACAAAGAGCATGCATTATTTGTACAAATTTAACTAGTTATTATTTTTTTAATTCATAGCTTGTTTTAGCCGCCTTCCCAATAGGAGAAGTTTGTACTGTATTTAGGAACCAACACAAGGACAAATGTCTGCTTCTTTTTTATACCTTTAAAAATTCTTTTTGGGGCATCCAGCTGGCTCAGTCTGTGGAGCATGTGACTCTTGATCTCAGGTTGTGAGTTCGAGCCCCACATTAGGTATAGAGATTTTTTTTTTAATCACCTCATGATGATGGAGTTTAAAGTAAACTGTGCAGACCCAGGGGTCCCTGCCGAACACAGCCCCACACCGCACAGGGTGGGCCACTGACTGCCCAGCCCTCACTCTAGTGGAAGCCCTCTGCTGCTGCTCAGCCCAGGGATCCTGGACGTCCCACACTTAGCAGAAGAACAAACTGCAACCCGGACCCCAGCCAGAGAGCCTGGGATCCCAGAAGACACACACCGCCAGTAGA